GGCCCTGGGAGCTGCACGAGGCTGAGGGGGACGTTCGAACCCTGCCTTGAAATGGGGTGCCCTCCACTTAAACTCCCGTTGCTGGAGGGGATGTTGATTTAGATCTGTTCATTTAGTTGTGGGTGTATTCATTGCAGTAGATCAAAAAAAAAAAGAAGAAAATTTGCCTGGTTTTGTCGAGTTGCTGTCTTAATAGTGCCCTGATAGCTTGACTTCCTTGTCTGCTGGTCGGGGCAAGCTCTCGTGGGTGTCACTCAGCGATCACAAGATGTTTTTAGTCTGCTTTAGTAGCTTTTAATGCTGAGTCAAAACCACAGTCACATTGCAATTCTAAACGCCTGCGGTGTCAAGCGGTACTAATGCTGCTCGTGTTTCACCCTGCACCACCCTAAGCGGCCCTTGAGCTGTTTCCTCTTCACCTGCTCCCCTCTCCCTGCGACGCCTGAAGAGTTTCTCAGCCTGAGCAATGAGGAGGCAAAACAAATGGAAATGGGCAATACGCTCTGCTTCTCCCTAGCTGGCAGTGCTGGTTTTCCTGCTCCTAGAAGCCCTGAAGCAGAGCATCAGCATGTGGCGTGTGTCATGGATAACTAAAGGAAAGAAACACACAACGACAGAAAAACCCTGTATACCTGAGCAGAAGAGCAGTAGGGGGCTTCCTCAAGCGCTGTGTTGCCTTGCAGTCCCTGCTAAGGATTAATTATGTTCTGGTATTGGGAGGGGAGGGGTTGGCAGCAGAATTTTTACTCCAACAGATTAAAATTGCACAGTCCATCATTAGCACTCTTCCATAACTGGTCAGTGTATGAAATGTGGACAGAGAATAAGGTCAATAAACATACTGCATGTTGTATCTTCAGCTTCGTGTGGGATAATACAGAAGATGATGGTCTGCAAGCAGGCAAGACAAAAATACTGGCTCTTAGTAAAAGTCATGAACTGTTTGTCTATGAATTCACGCTAGAAGATGGAAAATACAACCCGATTTCCCTGCACAGGTGTAAGGAAGATACACTTAAAAAGCTCCTTGAAGTTAAAAACATTAGTGAGTAAATTTCAATATGTATTCCATATTTGAAATTATTATAGGTCTAATCCTGCTTCGCCTGGTGAAAGAGATCAGCACAGTAGGACTGAATGCCAGGGAGGTGTCAGTTACTTCCACACTGATTTAGAGTGATCAGTAACAGGATTCATGAACTTGAAAAACAGTAGTGATGTCCTGCATTCAAAGGTGACACTGTTAAGGGGACTGAAACTGTTGTAGGGTAAGGAGTTTGGATGATCCGAGGTTAAAAATAGTCTTTAATAAAACATATTCATGCAACCATGCTATCTCAAACTTTCCCTTTAGTATTGGAACTGATGGGAAGAAATCATAGAGATAGGGTGCCTCACTAAGCCTGCAAAGACTAATGATGTGTTTAGCCTGATGTTCTGTGATTAGCAAACAGTGTACGGTTACAATGCACAGTCCTTGCAGGACCAAGACCTGTCATACTTCCCATGTTCTTAAACTGTTTCCATTGCTGAAGTGTTTTTTATTTCCAGAGACTGTAGTTTTTATTTTCAGCGTTGACTGAAATACTATTTTGTGATGATGATTTTTTGTGTTCTTCGTAGTATTGTCCACTTAAAAAGCCTGCGCTGTGTTAGTTAGGAAGCTGTTCTAAAATCAGCGCACCTGACGTAAAAAGTGAGATTTAAGAAAACCAAGCTCCCCCCTCCCCAGTCCAGCTTTTATTAAGATGGTAGCAGAGGCAATGAGTTTGGGCTGTCATTTTCTTGAGATACCTTCACAAATCAAAACTATAATCCTAAAATATCTTTAAATTTACAGGTCTGTCTTCAATTGTCTCTTTGAGGATACTGTCTTTTCAAAACAACAAATGTATACTTCTGCTCAATAAGTGTGTTGTCGTGCATCTTACCTTTGCTGGAGGAGACTCACCCTTAGAGACATGCGACTGCTTTACCCTTGATTTGTCTCCGCAAGTTTTGGGAAGAGTAACAGATACACAGTTCTGCAGAGGGATCCTGTTTGTGCTAGACAGTTCTGGCTGGATTTGTATCCTTTGCAGTAGAGACTGGCTCTCAGCCTTAATGATGTGGAAGAACAAAGTAATTTTTGTTTTCTGTCAGGGTTAAAAGCAGAAATTTCTTGAAAGAAATGGAAGTGTCTGTTTTGACAGAAATTTTTAGAAATCTGTTTCACGCTGGAGTAATGGTTTTCAGCGTTTTCAATATGTGGGTCTCTGTATACAGGCTTACGTCTGTCAGTAGCCTCTCTTTTCTTAATTAGATCCATTAGAAATTGCCTACAGATACTCAGGGAGTCACAGCTTGGAAACCAGAGAGCTGTCTTCTGTGCTCCAAAGAACAGGAGCTCAGACCTGGCAGACTCTTTCGCAAGGTGCTCGACTTTAACCTATGCTTTGTCAATTTTTTCTGACTTGTACATAAAAAATGTGATAAAGTCAGGTTACTTTTCCTCCTAATTATGTAATTCTCGATCTATATTTGTCCCGGTTCACTTGTAAGTATTAACTAACTCTTTCGAGATGGCACCGTTTGCGTGTTTGTACAGCACCTACCGCAGTTCACCTCTGATCCGAGGTGAGCTTAGCGTGCTCTTGTGAAACAAACAATTACCAATGTTTGGTTGTGCAGAGACTGGCTTTGAGCACAAAGTTAGCAGGAATTGACCGTCTTCCCCTTCTACATAATTTCTTTGTTGGACAGTCTGTTTTCTTTGATGCTGCTAAAGATGTATTTGACTCTTCTGATGGTGCAAATCTAGCGAATGTCAGCGTAGCCCTCTGCCAGGGAGACGTGCGGGATGAGGACAGGGGTCCAGCCGCCACGTCGCCGCTCACTGCGGTGAAAGTGTCGCGTGATCTCAGTGTTGCTGTGATCCTCAGTTCTTCCAGCTGTGCCATCTCTGTGGATCTAAACATGTACTTCAGGTACGTTTGCAGCAGAATTCCCAAATGAAAGTTTTGCTTACAACTAACATTAAAAAGTGCCTACTCTTGGTCCTGTAGCAGTTGAGGTGCTGTCAGCTTTTTATTTGGAGTGCGGGCTCTGTGGTAAAGTGGAAATTTCATAGTTGTTTAAAGAATGCCCATTAATATTTGCTGCAGTTTGTGCTCTGTCACTTTAACAAATAGAAACCCTTTGTATTGGACTTGATATTTTTTCTGGGAAGGTTACGGTACATGCTGTCAGTGCTAGTGGTGGTTGGTAGCACCTTCTAGAAACACTGTAGGGTATGGGATTGTTAAACTGTTCTGATATACCTTTACTGGTTTTGCTTGATAAATTAGGACTAGATTGTAATTTAGAGGTGTTGTCCACCTCAAAGGAAACAGCATCAGGTTTCAATGGCTCACCTGGATACGTTTTTGTGGATACTGTTAATCTGAGAGAAAACTGCTTCTCTGATGGCTCCTGCAGGAGTTAAACATGAAAGAAGTATCTTAAATCATCTGTGAGGGAGGTGAAATTAAAGATTTATTTCTTTACAGACAGTTCCCGGAGCATTTGCTCTGTAAGAGAGATCCCGAAAGTCTTCCACTGAAGCCTCCTGAAGGACTTGATGAGGACGACCTTGCTAGTTCTGACTATAGCATGGAGCGTCTGTCATTGCCTTTCCGCACTGACAGGTACATAATACAGTTACTTTCTGGAACAGGCTGGGTTCTGCCTCCTTTAGATCATTGATCAATAAATGCTGTTTTGTTTAGTTTTTTTTTTTTAATTGTGGCTGTGGCAAGGAAAATCAGCTCATTCTGCTTTAAATCTTTCGAATGCTAGGAGGATGTTAGGAAATGGGCCGAGACAACTTTACTAAGTCATCGAACAGCTTCCGAATAGTAATTGCTGTTTAGGGTGTTAACTTTGATTTGAATTGGTATTGACAGATTTTTGTGTTCGAAGTACTTTGCAGTTTGTTGCATGTTTAGCACAGATGAGTGCATGTGCACTTCAAAATACTTTGTGCTCATGTATAACATTTTAACTGTGTTGTGACCCTTAGTATTAGAAGTGTTAATACTAATAAAATATGTGAATTCTAACTTGACCTAGATGTAATAAATACTAAATTCTGGAATTAATTTCGTTCTACTTTTTTTTTGATTGATGGAGCATTTTCTATGAGGAAAAGAAAATTTTGTGTGAAAAATGCTCAGCTTCATGGACGTGTCAGCTTGAAGCTTTGATCATTCAGTTGGGCTGCAAACAGTATTTAAATAGAAATAAACAGGGCATGTTAATGTTAAAATGCAAGATGCTGGATGCAATCTATAAGCTTAAAATGCATATTATTTAGCTGAAGAAACTGTAACAATGCATGTATCTTTATTGTTCTGTGAGTAATACCTGGTATTCATTCTTCACCCCAGGTCCTGGAAGGCACACTTATCCTCACTGTCTGATACAATAAGGAGAAGACGACCAGGTTCTCCAGATGTGGTGAATGACTTGAATTTACCTTGGTATCAGTTTTTTACCCATCTTGAAGATCATGATCCTGAAATCTATGAAAATTCGGAGAATATGCTGGCTTTTGTTCCACGGGCTGTTACGTGGCCCCCCTCCAAACCGTTACAAAGTGATGGTACAAACCTCGGTGGTGCAAGACAGCAGTGGAAGCAAATCCCCAGAGAAGCACCACAAGAAGTGGTGAGACTGGAGTGTAAACTGGTGACTGGAGTCAAAGCCGTGTTTGTAGTATTAACGAATGACAGAGGATTGACTCTTGCTCTCTGGGATTTTGAGTCGCAAGACGTGACCTATTACCCCTGTGGCAAACAGAGCGTTTATGTGGATTGCAGTGAAGAGACTCCGTTATGCCTCCTGCTGACAGGTGAGGGGTTTTTACAGAATTCTTCTGGTGTAGCCTGTTCTTGTAGTGCTCTGCTTTCCCGTGGCTGCTGTTGTCGAACTCCTGGTGCGTTCTTGCTGAGGTGAAATCCAGATGGAGCCATGGCTGCTTTGTGTCATTGTTTAAGAGAGGCAGTAGACAGAAGTGTTGCTGCATAGCCACTTGCTTATATATTTTTAATTATGCTTCTTTTATTTAGAGCGTGGTCTTTCCTTAATTCTATTTGGTTTAACTCAAGAAGAGTTTTTGAATAGATTGATGATCTATGGCAGCGCCGGAGTCGTGGATTCTGTTTGTTATCTCAACGGATGGGAGCGATGTTCAATTCCAATGCACGCACTGGAGGTAAAGAAATCCGTCTCATGTTTTACAGATAACAAAAGTACTTCTAAAGTAATGAATGGAGTTTAGCAATGTTAATGGTGTTTTTAGACAATTAAGAGTATACCTCAGTAGCCTAGGGGCACAAAGTAGTGGTTCAGTTATTAAATAAACAGTAAAAAACCTGAGTAGCTTATATGAGTCACCCAAAAAAAAGAAATACAGCAACAAAGTTAACACACATTTTAAAAAAAAAAGATTTTTTAAACTAAGCAGTGCTCAGAACTCCCTCTTAATTGGACTCAAAAGCGTTTTGCCATTCTGCAGCAGTTTTTGTCCTCTTGCAAAATGTCTAATATTAAATCCTTGGAACTAGATTTTCGTTTTTATCATACCGCTCTTGTAAAGCCAAGAGGAGAACTTAAAGCTACGAAATGTTGCTTGGGATCCCTTAACAATAGATGATTAAATGATTTTAATGTACCACACCACAAAACAAATTTGCTTGTGTCTCTACAGTGTTCCAGTGCTCTAGTTCTACTTTTAGATGACAGAGATCCTGCTTTTAAAGAAAATATTGTTCCAGAAGTCTGGGACTCTGCAGCAGTCTGCCCACCCCATCATTCAGCACGCTGTCACTCTCTGTTTTCAGTTGTGTTCAGAGGGCGGGAGCTGAAGTGAAGACATTTGGTTGGATTTTTTGGTTTTTTTTGAAGAGTGTGATGGAAAGTGAATTGATGGGGCCAGGGTCACAGCAATTTTTAGATGTTGTAAGCTTATTCAAAGTCCTGATTCTCACAGTGTTGATTTTGTATTTATTTTACATTCCAAACACTATATTCAAACACTGATGAATTGCTGAATTAGCATTTTGTCTCTGAAGATTCGGGGCAGGGTTTTCTGCAAAGCCTATTAAAGGAGCGTGGCAGGTACTGAACAGGTCACATTGTTATGTCAGGCTGTTGCACACATAGTTTAAACTTATTTTCTGCGTGTATACTGTGTCACTGAGTATGAAGTAAAAATACTAGCAGTAAGCATACAATATGTGTTTTTAGAATACGTGCATAATTGTTCTACCCCATGTTTGTCTAGGCAGGCTTGAAAAATCGTCAGCTAGACACAGCAGACTTATTTTTAAAAAGCAAAGAAAATCTCTTCAAGCTGTCTGCACCCTGCTCTGGACCTGAGCAGTCTGCTGATAGCGCATCCCAGTCTTACTTGAAAAGTAAGTAAAATACTTTCAGCTGCACAGAGGTTTAAATGTAATTGCCTTTCCATTTATGGCTGTGTGTTTGTAAAAGCAGTTTGAATTGCCTGTGCTCTTGTATGTTTGGATGATGGAAAATAAGAGAGAAATGGTGCATAAGGTGTAGGGTTTTTGTTGTGTTCTGATGTTAGCATATGTATCCCAAGAGTTTTGATGTGAAGGCAAAGTGTGTTACATATATTGTTTGATGTTTTTTAGAAGATTTTTGTAGCATACCTTTATGACTTACCTTCAATTTTGAATTTATGTGATCGGTCATGGTAGAATGCAGATGTTTTAACTCTCTGTGTAAATATTGCAGATTTGGAAGAGCTGAGGCCAGCTTTAAACTTGCTTTGCTCAGCGATCAAAGAAAATGATATGGAGCCTCACAGTAAACACTTCTCTGAGCAGCTGCTAAACCTCACGTTGACTTTCCTTAGCAAGCAACTTGATGACATTTTTGTGCACACAGAGGGTAAGATTACTCATGCTGAATCATATGTAGAAATGTAATGTGTCATCGTTTAGGTAAGTAAGAACAACGAATTTTTTTCATTAAAAGCCTAAATTTGCGTAGAATTCCCCCCCCCCCCAAAAAAAAAAAAAGTGCTAGATTTAAGGGAATGAAAGGTGTTATTTAAGGGCAAACATGAGAAATTAATCTGAATACAGTATCTGTATTAGCCCAAACAGCTGTGATCAGGCTCTCGGATCAGACGGGATACTGTCCAGAGGATCTTTCTGGGATGCGTAAGAATGGCAGGATGGGACTTTCAGGCTGTCGCTGGATATTTGTAGTGGTGCAGTTAAATGGCTTGAGTTTAATCCTCAGCTGCTGGCTCTTTTCTCAGTGCTGCCACTTGAAATATTCTGGCACAAATATTTCTGTGGCTGTGGAATGGAATAGACTAGGTTAAGAAAACGATACAGCTGAAAAAATATCCTACCAGGTGATTTTTTATCTGGAGCACTTCTCTGTCTGATTTACTGTGTGGCAAGAGTTGGGCATCCCAGTATAACCCGAGAGGTGGCACAGAAGCCAGAAGCAGGTGCCTGGTGACGCTAGCACGGTTGCTGCAATGGTGCTCTTTGAACTACAGCCCGAAAGGTACAAGAGTGGAGTGACGGCTGGTGTGCTGCTGAAGCATTGCAGTGGCAGAATTCCAGAGGACAGATGTGTTCTGCTGGACAAAGCTGTGCAGAGAGGGGTGACATGTCTCAACATACAGCGTGCTGTCCTTCCTCTTGGGTCTGGATTGCTGTCTCAGGGGTGCTTTTTAGTCTGTGGGCCAACAAGTTGTACATGTTAACCAGAACTGATTTCTTCCAGTAGTAAAAGTTGCAGACCATTAACTCTCAATTATTTTTTCTACATGTTTTTTGTAGTCTTTGTTTCTTACAAATGAGTGTTATATTAGGTGTCCCTGCATTTTAAATGTGATTTATCTGACTAATAATTGGTTGGATTATTGAAAAATCTTCGTTCTCATTTACTTGTCCGTGAAGGGGAAGACACAGCAATGAGGACAGGGAGATCTCTCAGGAGCACTGGTAGGGTTGTGACTGTGTCCTGGCAATGTGCTGATAGTGGTGGACTTTATCAGCACCTGTACAGGTCACACTGCAGTGCAGAGCTGATGTGCTCGTTTATCCGAGGTCTGTTCTGTGTGTTAGTCTGGAGAATGCGTTCACCAATACTAAGTGTTAAAAACCCTGTATCGTTCATTTCTGCTTAACTGACAGAACCTGATGAATTCCTGCAGAAGGGTGCAGATATTTTAACAGATTACATTATAAGACTCAGAAAATTTCTGAGGAGATATCCTCAACCACAAATAGATGCGGTACACGCAGAAAGTCAGCTTGATGAAGATATACCTGCATTGGAAGAAAGCCACATGTGGGAAAAACTGACACCAGAGGTAAAAAGGAGTAACCATTTTTTTAATATTCTTATTCAATTTATTTAAGGAAATTATTAATATGGAAGTGTCTTTAAACTCTTGGGGGGAAATCAGTATAGGGATCGTAAAGATAGTAATACTGGAAATTGATGGCCTCAGTTTGTTTCAGATTTTTTCCCCCTTTAGGAAGTCATTGCTGAGGCCATCTTAACCAACAAAATGCCAGAGGCCCAGACCTTCTTCCGAATGATGACTGTCTTCTGAAGGACAATACCAGAGAGGCCTCAGAACTTTTAAGGAACATGGTGAGAGGTGTTCAGTCAGCATGCTGATAGTTCTTAACGCTTCTTTATGACTAACAAAATAAATTAATGGTAAGAGTATGGGGGGTGTGTAGGTGTCTTATGGGTGTATGGATTCTACCACATACATATATTACAGTGAGAGTTAACTTGTTTTAAAGAGCTGCTTTGATCACTAACGGGCTGGTGGAATGCTGAGGGAGCCTATTTATGAACGTGTATTGACTGATGTCATGATCAGCAAAGTGTAAAGGTGGTTCTGGCAAGTCAGGTATTAAAGGGTACACATTTTGTATCCTGACAGGCTGGAGACATCACGCAGAGCACTGGGTGATTGTGACATCTCTGGTAACGGGTGAAGCGAGTATCACAAGCATGCTTGTAAAAGGTTGTGCGCTTTGGAAGGAAAGCAGCTGCGTTTATTCTGTCAGCGTACAGCTGTGTTTGTACAGCGTGCGTACAACCAGCATCTTCTTTTTTGTTAGGGCTTTGATGTGAAGGAGGAATTGCGTAAGATATGTTTCTACACAGCTGATAAACATGTACGAGATTTGTTGGTAAGTGTAGAAAAGGCTTTTTTTGACTAGCTGGTGTTTTCAGGTCTGAGGTCGATGTGTATTTATGCTGAGAGAGCGCGTTGTATTGAACACACTTTCAGAATGGGAACAGAGAGGTTTTGTCCCTGCATCCTTGCAGTGTAGTTGCTGCAACATGTCATTGACATGCCTCTGTTCTTTTGTATTTGCAGTTAAAGTAAAAATTGTTAAAATGTTATTTCTTTGTTCTGGCTCTGATCTAGTTCTCATCTGCTTGCACACAGTGTAAAGTCCTGGCCCTCCTGAAATTTAAGTGTATCGACCTCAATGCTTCCAGCATTTTCTCCTACAGTTGGCTTACTCTTTACACTTGCAGGATCGTTTACGACTTTAATATATTATAAGTAGATATTGTAGAGTATATAAGTAGAAATTGTAATTGGAGGTAATACTTTAATTTGAATTAAAGGTGAAAGTTTTACAAGAAGAAAATTATTTTTCTGAGAAAGAGAAGAAAATGATAGACTTTGTGCATCAGGTTGAAAGCTTTTACTCGGAATCCTTCCAAGAAAATAAAGAGATTCAATCTCTTTCCAGGTAATGTGGGTTATCAGTTTTAATTATCAATTAACAACATTAATAGGATTTAAAATATGCTGGCTTCTACATTCCGTATGATATACAGTCTTCTGTAATGTCATTAATTTCATACTGGTCTTCATTTGCAGAAATAAGTGTCAGTGTGGGAACTGATTACTTTGCTCATTAATGTAACAATTGCTGTCGTGTTCTTTCCAGACTAAGTCATGACATGCTATCGTCAGTGTGACAGACATCTTCTGTTTGTGTCGTCATCAGCATAAATGAAGTACTTTTAATAACAAAGGATATTCTTAGATTTATTGATCAAACAAAACATGCAGATGGAACGTTAGCTCTATTTTTGATATATGATATCCATAATATAGCAAACTAAAGTAACCTAGAAAAATCATTTTACAGTTAAATAATTGTAAAAATGTTACGATACTCATCATTTGCTATGTCTGTTTTGGAAAAGTGAGTTAATTCTTTGCCCGTTGCTCTCATGTGCACTCTCAGACTTCTAGCTGAAGTAAATCCCTCTACCACTTCCAGAATTCTCTTCAAAATGGACTATCAAAATCTGTTGATTCTTTTCATTGATCTTCTAGTTGTTAGGTTGTGGACTGTTTTTTAAAAGAGTACCAGAAAACAATCTAATGTGATACTTCATTGCAGTTTCAAGAACTGGAGAAAGGAGCAAGACCTTTCCAGACATACAGCTGTTCTGGACTCATTGCTGAGTTGTGACAGACATCGGGTTCACAATCGGAGAGTCAGAGTGATGTTTAACTGGGCTCAGTGGTGGGATGAGCTTATTCAGGAAATGATTCTTCTTCCCAGAAAACCACGCCAAGGCAAGTGTTCTGGTACTAAGGACTTACAAGAAATTGTGAATTAAAAATTTGGCTTTGATGTAGTACATTGCAGTTATGTTGGAGTGGCATTGATATAACTAAAGTTGTATGCTACCACAGCAGGTCACTTATTTTTTGGCAATGAAAATGGGTAAACAATGTGTTTCATCCTGTTGCATTCTGACAGGGATCTGTGTTTTTCCTGTAGAGAAAAATCTGGAACTAGCTGAAAGGGACTTGTCTAATGAATGGCCACTTGTTGTGTCATACTCTGCTATGCTCTGTAAGCTGTTCCACTGTGGTATTACATTTAGCTTTTCCAACATAAAGCTCTAACAAGCTGTGACCGTATACTTAATCTCACCACCATATCTGCAACCGTTTGTTAAAAATATGTACATGTAAAAAGCACTGTCAGTACTCCCTAGGTCGTGTGTGCTTGTGCCAGTTTCATCAGTTTGCCTTTTTGAAACACAGAACTCAAGACGTGTAATCCTGAGGTTCTTTGGATGCACTTGACAGCCCAGCATGACTGGCTTAATGTTTGTGCATGGATTGAAGAATCAGAGCCCGACCAGACTGCGTGTGGACAAGCTAACTGGCCCCCTCTTACTCCAGACATTATTGACCGGAACATGTTATGTAGTAGCTATATGAGAAATGATATATTAAACAAGCTGGCTAGGTACGTGCACTTAATGCGTTATGCTAACTTTCTGTCTTACGTGAAGCCAAAATCAGGTATTTATAGAAGTACTTGTTAATAAAATCTTTGATGCATGTGAATTTTTATATTGCGCTTACTGCTCTTTTTTAAACAGCACAAATCTATTAACAAATTTAATTTTAGTCTTGTATTTGCACTTTCTGTTGTCTGAAAACAGTAAGAAACACGAGAGCAACAGAAATCTTCTATCAGCTCTTCGATCTTCCTTGGTGATTATATTCCTGATGCCCATTTTAATGCAAGGGAGAAAATTCTAAACACAGCATTTCACTCCTCACCCCTCGTTCTCGGCAGTGGACTGTAGTCACTAAGATATTGTTTGAGTGCCATCAAACATATTTTGACATGTTGTGTTTGCCTCGGCAGTGAAGTTATCCCCTAGAAGGAAAGGTCTGCTTTATAATTTTGTACTGAAAACACCCTTCAGAACTTCTTGAAGATATAACTGTCTAATCAGCGTGTATGCCTTTTCTCTTTTCTGATAGAAATGGAATTTTTGTCTTCTCTGAGTTGGAAGATTTTGAAGTTCTGCTCCAAAGACTGTCTTACCTTGGGGGAGTACTGCAAAATCCTCACCCGGTTCCAAAATACAGTGCTGCCAGCGGTTTGGACTTCCATGCTCGTTTCGTCCTTTACTGTTTAGAACATAATTTGCAGTATCTGCTATACACTTACTTAGACTATTACAGGTATGAATGCTTTGCATCCCTCAAATCTCATGCAGATTTAAATAATGAAACACAATTTTAATAGTTGGCAGTAGAGTTTTCCTCGGCCCTTGCTGTTTGGCGAGAAAGACTGCTTGGGTCACAGCGGTGTCATTTAAAGAAAAAATGTGGGGTGGTATGTTAGGCTCCATGCTGTATTTTGAAGCTTTATTTAGGTTGTCTTGTCAATACTAATTTGTGTGTCAGTCATCAAAGGAAGCAATTACAGTTGTAATTAGTATACTCTTACAAACAATACAATCGTAAATGAGCCAAAACAAGTTGTTCTTCAGAAACTCTCTCACTTCAGCACAGGTATGAGTTCATTCATGATAATTTCACAAATAAAGAAATTTCTGGTTTCCATCTAATTTAGGGTTAGTTGGGATTTGAAGGAGACAGAAATATTCGGTAGTGGAACTATATGAATACTTTCCATTTAATTAATAGTTTGCTATTAAAATTTCTTAGCTGTAACTGCAATCTAACAGTGTAGGTATTAAGAAGGTAAAAGTGGACCAGAGAAAAGCCAAAAAATCTTTTTTTGTTTTTTTTATTTGTTTGTATAAGCAGTTTTGGTTTGCATAAAATATTTAAACTATGCAGAGTGGTATTTGTGAATCAAGTCCCTTGTCTGGAAAGCGTTTGGGGTTGTCAGCTGGGGAAACTGTTACTTTGATTTACGGAAGCAAGCAAGCAAGCACAGCAACATAATCTTAAAGAAGAGGATGGTCAGAGGTGCCATGTCAGCCAAAGCTGTCCAGCTTGTAGAGGAGGGTGATGTGGTTTGACTCTTTCATAAGAACGGATGAAAGAAGTCACTAACACCAAATCACATGCTCTTAATTTTTAGTGCAGTGTTATATTAGGGCAGAGGATGGTTACAAATACTGTATTTTCACTGTGCTGCTACTCATCTTATTTCCAGTTTATCTCCTTCAAACTGCCCTGTTCTGGATAACAAGGAATTGCATGAAGCACATCCCTGGTTTGAATTCCTCGTGCAGTGTCGAGGGGTTGCCAGTAATCCACGAGGTAGGAGTCTGCCTTGCTCTAGAGGTGGTCTGACGTTTATGCTGCTGGCTGAGTATTTGGCATAGCTGGGTTTAGTTCTCTGCTGCAAACTCTTTTTTGACTATGGCAAATCATTTACATGTACATCAGTTCCTCATCTCTAAAATGTGGGTTATAATTCCTACTTAAACTGTGCGTAACAATTTGGAGACTGTAGATATGTCAGAATTGTTTTGTGTGTAATCATCATTGCTTCCATTTTGATTAGATTCCTAATAGGTTGAACAGAAGGAGAAGTCATAAGAAAAAGCGTATGCTGTTAAAATTAAAGCTTCCTCTAGTTGTTGTGGTGCATTTTGACTTCTCTGCTGCTTGGATTATGTGCTTTTTTCCTAGATATTGTCATTGAAAATCAGTAGATTTTGAGCCCTGAAGTCTTTTCACTTTTTTTTAAAACATTTCATGTTCTGTAGAGTCACATGTTAACAAATGATAAAAATAAGCCCAAGTGGGGCTTTTTCAGAAAGTGTGATCGGTGTAGGATAAAGAATTGAACCAATACAATGCTAAATGGTGGGACTCGGTCCAAATCAATCTGTGTAGGTAAATCTGTGGTTTGAAATTGGGGAAAGGTTGGTAAAATTTAGAACAGTTTATCTGTATTTGTAAGTAAATTGAGTCGAAGTCACTATTAACAACCAAAAATAGAAAATTCCATTTTGTTCATAGTCATAGAACAGTTTTAATGCATGACTTGATAATGTAGTATTGGTTTTGCATGAAAGTAAATGTCACTTTTTTTTCTTTTAAGATCCAAAGATGATTTTTCAGGCTAGTCTAGCAAATGCTCAGATCTTGATTCCTAGTAATCAAGCCAGTGTGAGTAGCATGCTACTGGAAGGACGTACGCTATTAGCACTTGCTACTACAATGTATGCACCTGGAGGTATTGATCAGGTACTGTGTGCAACAGATTATTGATAAGCTTTTGGAGAAGTTCTCACATGGTGTTGAAGACTCAAAGGAATACATTAACAAAAATAAATATTCTAATGCCATCGTATAATTTCTGTTTCAGCGTTAGTTGACCGAGTGAAGCGAGTAGCGTGGCCTGAGGTTACGTGGTTTAGAAACAGCAAGGCACAGTGGCTGTGAGCTGGAGTCTTTAACTCCTTCCTAACAGTTACAGCTGTGTTTATAGGCACTGGTGTTCCTCAAACAGTTCTGGTTCGCAAAAATATTTTTATTAAACTTTTTAAATGGTGTGCCTGTAATTCTTAGACAGCTATCCCCTTTTGTAGTGATTTGTAGTTTTTAAGTAAATGAAGCAGTGGGTCACTGGACTGCGTTTCTGCTAGGTGCTATTCAGCTTCTGTATGTTTATTTTTAGAGGCTGAAAATCTGGGCACATATAAAAATTGCAGCATACTGCTTTCATTGTTTGAACCAGTTGCATTGTGCTACAGAGATCAAAAAGCACATTATAAACAGTTGTACTTTTAAAAGAAAATTGCTCAGTGAAACCCATATTGGAACAGATTTGATTAATACAGATAGCTTTTTGATACATAGTGCGGTAACCTAAGCCATCAGGTACTGTTCAAGATATGTCTAATATAACTTAGAAGGATTTTGCAGGGAAAAATGACTTTCTGTGTTGTCACCGTATGTCAAATTCCCGTGAGGTAGTCTGATGCATTCAGAGATTGTTTTGTTATTATCTTAATGCAGTTTCTTCTTCCTAATGAAACAGTTTTGCTTCCTTGCAATGTAGGTTCTTCAGAATGAAGATACGGAAAAACCTCTGAAGAAAGTCGATCCACAGCTCTTAAAAATGGCATTGGCTCCTTACCCCAAACTCAAAGCTGCTCTCTTTCCCCCATGTACTTTGCATGGAATTTTGCCACCTGACATCTCTCTTTACCACCTTGTTCAGGTACACAGAATGCTTCTCAGTAGTACTTTTTGGCAGAGCAGAAGTAAACTAAGAGGAGCTTGATTTTAGCTAAAGCCTGGAGGGTGGGGACTGTATGTTGTTTCCTTGGAATCCTTAATTTGGAGCTAAAGGTTGTAGCTTCATCCTGAACAGGTTTTTTAAGTGGTGTCTAAATATTGTGAGTTTGGCTTCCCCCTGTCCCCCCAGACGAGTAAAGACGTCTGCAGTGTTGAACTTCAGCAGTTCTGGAATAACAGAGAAGTGATATTCTTGCCGTGTTCCGTGGGCAGGTTGCTCAGTATTACGATAATTAAAATGTTTTTAATTGTCTAAGGGAAATTGAAATTTAGAATTTAAGTATAGTGTCTCATGGAATGTCATGGCACGTGGACAAGGGGTGATAGCTTTGGACTGAAAGAGGGGAGATTTAGATCAGATATAAGGAAGAAACTCTTTATGATGAGGGTGGTGAGGCTCTGGCCCAGGTTGCCCAGAGGAGCTGTGGCTGGCCCCTCCCTGTCAGGGTTCAGGGCCAGGTTGGATGGGGCTGGGAGCACCCTGGGCTGGTGGAAGGGGTCCCTGCCCGTGGCAGGGGGTTGGAACCAGATGATCTTTAAGGTCCCTTCCAACCCAAACCATTCGATGATTCCATGATTTTGGGGCAAATACTTTGTACTTCGGATCTGTGGTACGAGATACACGGAAAGTTGGAAGGAACCTGATGAATTATTCAGTATTAGGAAAGTGTTAAGTTTGCTAGGGTCACAATGTAGCAAAATACTGAAGCATGGTCTTTCCTTATTTCCTTAGAGCAAAGTCTAAGCCTTTCCTTGTACTTGTTTGTGTCCTGATCCTGCAGAGTAGATAAGTATGTACCTTTGAGAGAGAACTTCACAAGATACATCAGGGCTTGGTAGCAGCACAGGCCATTCCTGGTTCTCTGCTACTGTAGCTCCCTGAAATGCTCTGTCGTCTGGTCTGATGCGAAAATCTTAGCTGTCTCAATATATTTTGTTTCTAATCTTTCAGTCATTAGTGCCCTTTGATCCCACTAAATTATTTGGCTGGCAGTCAACAAATACTCTTGCTGTATCAGGTATGTTACTTTCAAGTTTTATATGCTTTCTTAGCCTGAGCACCTAGGATAAAATACCTTCCAGTGAAATGATTTGACAGATAAACTTATTCAAAAGGTCATTTCTTTTACAAACAAACCAGTGTAATTTACTAAAATTTTGTTTTCAAACTAAATCCTGGATAGGTTACCTTTTTCCTTTAGCTCTTCATAGACAGAATTTTTTCTGTATGTATTGTGAGATAGAGGAGCAGTATTTTCTTTTACAACCAAGTTGAGGGCTGAAGTGATCTAGAGTTCTGATTTTACAGTGAGAATTGGAATTTCAGTGGAGTTTGGCTATGCTGAGATTTGAATTAGAACAAGAGGAGAGGTGTTGGATTGTCGTCTCATGTTTTGTAGCCGAAAGGCATTTTCTGTGTTTAATTTATCAGCTCGTAATAATGATGCTATTCTTTCTAGATGCATCAAGTGACTTTCCTCATTTTTCATCCCCTGAACTGGTGAACAAATATGCTGTAATGGAAAGACTGGATTTTTTGTACTATTTGCACCATGGACGTCCATCATTTGCTTTTGGTACATTTTTGGTCCAGCAGTTAGCAAAGAGCAAATCCCCCAAACAGTTGTAAGTCTTCTCAGAAATGACAGTGGAGTAGTTCTGTTGAAGTTGTTATCTAGTACATGGAGTAACATCAGTCCTCCCCAACAGCAAAGAAGTGGTGTGCAGTGCATGACTTGAAATTTTAGGTGCCCTAAGAGTCCATTCAGTCTAACATCGAGTAGGATAGAAATCAAACATCACCTAAAAGAGGGGGAGCTATGTTTTGAGTTACCTGAATAATATCTACACAATGAGAGCAAGGAATGAAAAATGTTCCAGTCGTATCAAACACGGGTAGGCTTTGCTTCTAGGGAGCTGAGCCTCTAGATCACTTTGTAGAAAAAAGATGCCCCTTTTCTTTCACATTTCCTAAGGATGACACTTCTTTATTTAAGTTAATAAGACACATAATGTGCTGGAGATTGAAGGAATTAAATTTTCTGGCTGAAGCTTCAAAATCATGTGTTCAAAAGGATACACATCTTGCTCGAGTATATTAAGTATATTCAAAATTAGTACAAGTTATGTCGGAACAAGTGACTTTGTTTCTAGAATGTCTCATTTGTGTGTTGGTCACTGTTTGTTTCTTTTTATCATTTCTATACAAATCCGTTTCTCTTGTGTAAACAACCAAGATTTGGGCAAAAAGGGAAACGTGCATTAAAGTAAACTGAAGTACTTAACAGTTTCAAAGACAGGCAGCATGCATGATTTTTTCAGTTACTGCTCTGGAAGAATTTCAGATAACCAATGAACCAGCCACCTTGCAACCCTTTAGGGTACGTTTTTCGCTTAGTGCAATCCGCAGATGAGTTTCAGGTTCTTGATGCTTCAGTGCTTGGATTGTAGGCTCTCCAGGGGGACTTTCTGCACTAAAACTGTGACAGGTGTCTTTTATTGATTATAATAATTGGCTTTAGTTTTTGGTAAAGTTTATTAAATTGCAAACTCTGTGCTTGTCATGTGTGAGGCTTTATTTTCACGCCTACGTTTTTTTATAAATATGAAACTTTTGGTTTGTAAATAACTTTCATGCTAATGAAGTCTGTGAGTGTAGTAAACATTGTGGGCACATGTTTACATGGGGAATATTCATATTTGAACACTGGTTAAAAATCGTGTGCGTTACCTGGCTTTCTTTTGGTTTCAGGATTCAGCAGGCAGGAGCTGAAGCCCATATTTTAGCTCTTTCTGCCTTCAGTGTACCTTCAGTAGTGGCAGCCTGTGTGTGCTTTCTAGAATTACTCGGACTCGACAGCCTCAAACTCAGGGTCGATATTAAAGTTGCAAACATAATTTTCAGTTACAGAACTAGAAATGAAGAATCTCAGCACAATCAAATACGAGAATCTTTGGGTAAGGATGTCTTTTGTTTGTTTTAAAACAGGGTACAATGTATTTATTGGGAAGAGAAGCAGAGACAGATTGAAAGATGGTGCCTGACTTCTCAGGAATGCAGCAGAAGCATCTTGTTGTTTGAAGAGCTAAGAATTTTGCTCTGCTTTTATTCCTGCTTCTTACTAATTTTGGAGGTGCATTTTGAACCTGGCAGATCAAAGAAGGCAGGAAGACTGTAATATGACATGCAGCCAGAATTGCAGAAGTGTCTAACAGACACTGTCGAACAGCTGCCTAAGGCTCTGTGTAACGTTTAGTAAGGTTCAGCCTAATGTTGTAATAGTATAACTAGAGGATCAACAAAGGGGCATTACCAAATCTCTTTTCTCTTTCGTACTTGAAAACTTTTACAGCTGCAGCAAAATCAGATATTCAAAGCTGTAAGGAAATTAAATTTATCCTAGGAATAACTTTAGAAAGTTTAATTTTTAGCTAATAGGTCCACGGGCATCTTTTTGTCCTGACTAAGGAACCGCTGGCATTTATTTGTATTGTCAAAAACATATGTTATTTAAAACTGTAGATAGAGCTCATTTAAAAAAAAAAAAAAGTTATGTGATCTGAAAGTTGAAATTCTTTTTCAAAAATCACATAGTCACGTTGATGCCTGGCTTGGCAGAGTTATCGAAACATTTACATTACTAGCACTTGTTCTGCTTGTTGGTTCTGGTACTTTTGAAAATATTACCCTTACTCTAATCCTAAATAGCATCTCAGAAATAGTAATATGTTCTTTTAAACAGTTGAAAAGTTAGCAAAATTGGCTGGTGGAGAAAAAGCCGGAGCAGCAGAAGTTCTTATGTCCTTAGAAGAAGCCTTTTGGGATGCAGTTGAGCGTCAAGGAATACAGAAGTAAGTAAAACATGATTTAAAGGATTATGCTGGCACATTGAGATTAAGCACTGAATTTGTGTATTCAGATAATACTAAATCACAGAATCACAGAATGGTAGGGGTTGGAAGGGCCCTCTGTGGGTCATCTAGTCCAACCCCCCTGCCGAAGCAGGGTCACCTACAGTAGGCGAGAGATGTGTGTGTTTTATTGCAGTAAACTGAACAACAATATTTGAATTTAGAATATAGTCTTGGTATTTCAAACAGTAGAGGTAACAGATGTATATTGGCAAGAATAAGGAAGTGCAGGTAGCGTGTTGGACTCGCTGTTCCACAGGGCTCTTGCAGCACGCTTAGGAGCGAAGATTGCTGGCTTCTGTTCAAAGCCTGCACTGTCAAGGGTGTGGGATGAAAGCTCCCCCAGTGGAATGTGGCCCAGTCTGTAGAGAAGTCACTGGAAGTGCTGGTGTTGCCATGTGCAGCCGATGGATCTCAGGCCACAGGAGGAGTTTATGCGTTTTTAACAGCGTTTTGAACATCTGGTATAAATACCAGTTTATTACAGCGGAAGCTCTTTAAATTCCCCACAGGACGTCTAGTGACTCTAGAAGGCAGTGGTCTTTGGTAATGCAGTTCTGTAAACTCCATAATATCGGACTGAGCACATCTTACCTAAAGGAGTGTGCCAAATCCAACGACTGGCTGCAGTTCATCATCCAAACCCAGCTGTACAGCTACCAGCCGGATGAGGTAAGCTATCTGTGTATGATTTTAAATGAAGATAGAGTTTATCATGAATATTCTTTGTCTGTGATGTTCAAAATAAAGGGGAGAGGAAGGAAAAAATGGATTCTTTTAACAAGAGGAAATCGCATTGTGGAGAGAACATGAAATCAAAGCCTCCTCAGTTTCCAAGGAGTCAGAAGTATTCTCAGGGTGCTCGATATCCTCTGGGTATGATGGCCCTGCTCTCGCAGCTGGATTTCCCAACTTTCCTACTTTTCTGCTTCGCTCTCTCTCTTGGTATGTGAAAAGCTAACACAAGACAAAGGAAGTTGACTCCACAGGGAGTTGACTGTTCAGCAGATACAATAATATGCTTCTAAGAGCATGAAAGCTAGCTATTAACGGAGAAGATTAGGGGGAAAAAATCCCTGTTTGAAACATCGCCTGTGATGTTATTGATCAGTAGTGGAGAAAACAATTTTCAGAGAGGAGTGATTTGAGTGTCTCTTTGAAGTGAGTTGGACACAAAATTATTTGCCAAGAAGGGACTCAATTTTCATTTAAAATTTAGTTAAAATTGTGACATACGCATACTGTTTGTAAGTTAAATTTAGAATCATGTAGTTACTGTTTTTTTATTGGAGAGTTACCATATGTTCAATGTAAGTTTTAATAAAGCCACTCATCTTTCACAGAACCACAGAATGGTAGGGGTTGGAAGGGACCTCTGGAGATCATCATCATTACTTTGAAAACTTGCATTGATTTTTGTGTAAAGATACTTAAACTTTTGAGAATCCACATATTCCATTTTTTGTTTTAAATGTAATTTAGAAGTTAATAAAGTATTACCAGTATGTAAAAATTAAAAGCAATTTGGAAAAAATAATGTGAAGAACGTAACTGAAAAATTCCAGGCAAGGTGATACTTAGCAGGCCTAGGATTTTAACTTGGATCTTATCGTTGTTGAGAAGAAAAATATGTAATTACACAACAGTAGCTAACTGGACACTTTTCATGATACACTCTTAGCAGTACGAGAGATATGACAGAAATGAGGGTCTCTAGGAGGCATTTTAGCTTCACATAAAAGGATGAGCTTCAATATTTTATTAGAATAATTCACACATCCAGAACACTGTTTCCTCTCTAGGTCTCCAAAAACATTATAAAAAACGAAGTTTGAAGAATGTTGTGTTTGTCTTTTCTGTGTATTTAATGCTTCAGTCTTTCTTCCCCCTCGTGCTCCTTGGATCTCAGTCTCTGTAGATGCTTTTGGTTCTGTTCTCCTAGGTCATGTCTATCCTTCAGGATTTCACTCCCATTTTACAAGATCACTTGAAGTTGGCGTTGGAGAAGTTGCCACGTGTATGTCCCGATGCAGAGAGTCGTGAAAACAGTGCTGCCAGTGTGTTGGAGAGCAAACCCGCAGACAGTCTCTTTCAAATCCTTCTTCAGTGCCAGGGCAGCTCCAGCCCTTCACGTTACCTTTTGACCGAAGGACTGAGAGAGCACGCTCCCGTTCTGAGTGTGTTAGCAGCATGTTTCCAAGTGAGTATTGATGAAGTGATTTAGCTTTTAGAAGACAAAGTAATAAAAAAGTGATGGTTGTGCAAAATTATGGTAAGTGGTAGATATGTAGGTTGCATCCATCGAGGTTTATTCTCAGTTTTGTGTTAATTGTGAATAGTGTGACACATTTGGCCAAGTGATATATAATGAGGTGATGTTTGTCTCTGGTTATTATAAAACCGTCATTTCTATGATTTGACAGGATGCAAACATTGTTCATTGTCTCTGTGTTTGGATAATTACTACTGTGGATGGTACTGCCAGAGCTGAAGCAACAAACCATATTCAAAGCTCAGCAGAAAATCACGAATGGGATCTTCGTGACCTGTCAGTTATCTGGAAAGTCTTTTTAAGAAAGCAAAAAAGTAAAACACTCCTAAATGGCTTCCAGCTCTTTTTAAAGGTAAGATAATGTCTTTTTAGTGGTATATTTGAGTGTATCTCAGTTCATCTTGGCAAGGAGATGGCGAATAGATTCCCCTTCTGTCTTGCTATTTATGGCCTAGGTAGCCTGGGTGTAATCCACTGAAAATCCCAGTCAGGTGAGAGACTCTTTGAATGGAAATTCTTCCAACTGTTAGAGATTTGTGGTTCATATATCAACCTTGCATGCAATATTAATAAGTGAAAACTTCATTGTTCTGATACTGAGGAAGACAAATTCTACATTTATTGAAGTACTTTTAGGAAAGAAGTCTAACCTATTTTTGTGTCTTAAAGGATTCCCCTTTACTGTATGTACTGGAGGTGTATGAACTATGTATGAACTGTAAAAAATACAATGAAGCTAAAACTAAACTGGACAAGTTTCAGGAGAGTCTGACAAAAGTAAGCAAATTCATTTTCTCTCAATGTCTTTGCCTAGGTTTTCCTGTATTAGAATGTGATAGGCATCTAATTTCGTATACGAAAATAATGAAAAAGAGTTTGCTGGAGTGATCTAAGGGCTGATTTGTGAAGCGGTTGGTTTCAGCAGATTCTTTTTATTGCTGGCAGTTAATGAAAAGATGTTTCTGACAACTCAAAACCCACGATGCATTTTTGTAAATCATTTTGTCTGAAGTTGATATGGGCAGATTGAAATACAATGTCGTCCTCCTTGTGTGAGCCGCTTACTGTTTGAAGGTTGGCGATGACTCAAGTAGGACCGCTGTTGGTAAATTGAGTTGTTTGTGGTGAGTAAGTGTTCTCTGTTGTGTGTTGGTGAGGGCAAGTCAATACCGAGCTGATAAACCCATGACTGATAGCGAACATCTGTTTAAGAAAGACAGCTTTTTTGGACAAGTTTCAAAGTTTCTGAAGAAGTCTGTGGTATTGCTTTGGTTTTGGTAGTTGTGTACTTGTCTTTGAAAATGACTCAGTGAACTGAATTGCACACTTCGATTAAAACACTGATTTAGTAGTTGTTTTAAGAGGACCAAAGCATCTTCATGCAATGTTCCTTGTTGGTCACACACAGATATTCTCACAAATTATTTCAGTTCTTCCCTTTCCATCACAATTTTATGGTTCCTGAATATCTTGGTAACTAACATTCGATGTCCCTAGTGCTTTTCCTTCCTGCAGTTCAGGCTCAGGCTGGATCAGTTTCCTTTCCCTGTGTGCCACTCACATGGCGGATATGCTTATAAAGTATACAGCAGCATGACAGGAGCTATTCATCTAGCAATTTATTTTATCTATCCATTTCTGATCCTTCTTGCATCTTTTATCTCTTCCATGATTATCAGGAGTAATTGTTGGTCACCCTGTCATAAAATTGGCTACTTTCAGGTCAAAGTCAGATGTACATCAGTGATGGATCAGTGTCCCCTTGGGAATGACAGTTAATGGTTTCTTAAAGAAGGAGGTAGAGCTGGTACAGCCTCCATTTCCAGTGATTCCCACCAAAATGCAGAATATATTTGCAAAAGAAACGCCAACACTTAAAAATCTTTATCTACACAGCTTAAAACTGAAGATAAACCAGCAGCTTCAGAACTACCTGTGCCATGGTTGGAATCACAAGCACTGTTTCTTCTTGAATTGATGATGCAGCAGTGTAGAACGGACTATGAATTAGGAAAGCTCTTACAGCTATTTGCTGCAGCAGATAATCTCCTACTGGATGGTAAATACAGCTTCCTCTGTTAGATGATATTACTGCTTTAATCTAAAGACCACATACAATGTTTTTGGAGTAACTGTTTACTTTAAGTGTATTCGTACTGTTTTATTTGTGTAGAAGAATTTATATAACGAGAGTTGGTCCCTGTGGTGAAACCTATCTGTGTGTGCAAGCCTGGCTGGGACAATGGTTATGTGTGAGTGTTAATGTGGAGTGCAAAGGTGACCTGGAGAAGTATTTTAGTTACGGATTTAGAGCTGATTTTCACTCCCATGAAAGTTTTGGAGTGTAAAATCTGTGCTCCTTCTCTGGCAGGGTTGCATGTGAAAGAAGTAGCAGAATTTCCTCAGGTTTAAAAACCAGCTGCCTTTAATTGTTTGTACTCTGTTACGACAGGCCCTTACGTGAAGAAACTCTGTGCACTCAGTGAGACCCTGAAGGATTCCTCCATATCAATCAGTCGCTCCACCCTAACCAGTTACAATATGGAGACATTTCAGAGTGAGTGCCGATCGATTCTGGAGCAGCTACAAGAGAAAGGAATGTTCTCCCTGGCTCGGGAGGTCGCAGCACTAGCGGAACTGCCCGTGGACAGTGTGGTTACGCAAGAGGTACAGTATAGTTAGATAATGATATTCACCTCTTAATACTCCTGTTACTGGCAGTATGGAGAATGTTATTTCTCAGCCTTCCTGAAACACGAATTTTTCTTCAAATCACTTTTTATTTTCAATGCAAGGACACCAAACAAGTTGGCTATAAGTGCTGAGCTGAAAAGGACAGTATAGGTTTCCTTGTTCTCTTGCTATTTTTCCTTGCTATGCAATCAGTTTTATTTGATGAGAAAAATAGATGGATTTGTTGCATATTTAGACACTTAATCTGAATTCAGTTTTTCAATATGCTGACCATCCAGTGTGATTTTTCTTTTTTTGAAAGACAGTTGTTTAAAACCTCTGTGAATTTTGCAGGTTCTAAGGGATCTGCTTCATTTGAGAGACATCGGACAGTGGCATCAAGACCAGACAAGAACTGAATTCTGGAAAAAATGCAATGACAGCTTCATGAAAAATTCAATCTCTAGCAAAGCTGCATCTGATTTTTTTTTTGATCAGGCAAACACAGTATTTGAATCTTTAGCTCCTGAGAAGATAAGCAGCATTATGGAGAGACATTGCATTATGGAGAGACTTTTGTTGCTTCCCCTGGCTGGCCATTGGCTAGCCAAGAATGACTCAGTGTCACTGCACAAATTAGAGGAAATAGAGAAGGAGATCTGGATTTGTCGCATCACACAACGAACATTGTCCACAGATGAGGGGTCAGGCAAGTCGAGATTTTCCTCCCACGTTGTAGTGAACAAGGATCTTACCTTTGATAACTTAGCTAAGGAGTTTTCTTTTTCGAAGCTACCTGCTCTGAACACACCAAAGTACTTAAAACTAGAGGGTCTTGCATTCAGAGAGACTCAACAGACCTTGACTAACGATGAGGAGGAAGCACTCAAGTTTCTGATCGGCTGCCTTCTTGATGAAGGAAGCGTGCATGAAGCCAGCCGTGTTTGCCAGTATTTCCATTTCTACGACAGAGATGTTTCGCTGGTATTGCATTGCAGAGCCCTGGCCTCGGGGGAGACTGATCTAGACAAGTTACACGCCGATATTCAGACTCTCCTTGCAGCAAGAGAGCAGCCCTCTGAAGGCGGTGCGTCTCAGCAGAGCAGAGCCCCGAGCGGTAAGGAGCGCTAACCGGTTCAGCCACTCGGCAGGTAATGCACTGCTGGGGTTCCGCTGGATTCTTCCTCTTCTGTTACAGTGTGAATTTCCCCCCGGATTTCTGTCGGAGATAAGGTCTGCATGACAGTGGGTTATCTCCTTGGTTCGTAAATCCTCTGCTGAAAGGAATTTGAAGCCTAGCAGTGTACATTGCTTATATGTGCTTCAGGCAGGGTGTTTCTGTATGCAGTTCCTGTAGTGTCTTAACCGTTCATTTCTGAGAGTTCACAATTCTGTTCCAGTGTAGTGGCACTGAACTTCATCGATGTTCCTGCTTTTGAAGTACACACTCTAGCAAACCTGGAGTGTGTTTCTGGAGCTGAAACAAGGAGCTGCTTTTATTAATATATTTCTCTGAATTCTTTGTACCTCATAAAGGATTTAGTGTTTCTTATTAATAGCAAGGCTAAGGCTGATAATATTCATATATAAAGTACTCTCTGCACATGTATGAAGTCTGAATGAGAAAGCTGTCAGCTGGAACATTACTTTCTAATACTAACATATATAAAGCTTAGTTAGAAGAGAATAAATGAAGCCTAACCCATCAGAAAGACTGCTGAACCCTTATGCTCTCTTATGCTTAGTATTTTTACATCTGAGATACTAATGTGGATATTTTGGCTCATTTGTGTTCTTGTCTTATTGTTTGTACCCTGAAACTTAAAAAAACCCCAAACAACAATCACAGGTATCAACAGTTCAGTCTTCAAAGGCTGAGAAAGTACTATGTATTTGCTACAGATTCCTGGAGTCTTGCTCCAAGTGTAAGGCATGTTGGTGTTATCTGTCTTTATGAGAAAGGAATTTACAGTATTCTTGTTCACAGCATCAGGCTTAGAAGACTGGACACACATTGTGGCCCCATCTCTAGATGATCCAGTTGTTGTCAGTCTGAAGGCTCTCATAGATGAATGCGTCCATGGGAGAAACTACTGCAGACAGGTTCTCTGTTTATATGAACTTTCTAAGGTATGTGTCCCGCGACATTATTGAAGAAATATGTGGTTGGTATCAAGCTGTGCTGTGGACGTTTGTGGAGGAAAGGATAAAGAGTGGTGAAAGTACTCTTCAGGTGCCCGAAACAAGTGTCAGAAGGTGAAATTACCAAGCCTTTGTGTGGAAGAATGGCCAGATGCTTCCGAGACATGAAGTGTTGAAATGAGCTCAACTCCCAGAGTCCCCAAGCCCCTACCTCTGACTCCACTAAGCCAGATTTCAGCCCGTGTCTCTTTGATGTGCCTTTTTTCTGATCTTTCAAGCATATGTTGTTCATCTAGCGCTTTGCTTTAGGCTTTTGTTGTAGGATGCCTGCGTAATCAACACCGACCCCGAAGGAGACAAGGAGATAGCAGCTGCCTTAGAAGTTTTAGCATGGAAGTGTTCTGCAGGCTTCTCACAGTGGCAGCTCTGTACCCAGAGGTTGCTCAGAGGAGTGGCTAATGAGTTCCACGAGGTTTGACCCAGACAGTGACGGGAGAAGTAGCCGATAGTTGTTGCTGCCTCTCTTCTCCTCGGCCTTCATGACAACCAGCAGCCCAGCTCTGCCTCTTCTCCAGAGGATGGTGCTGAACACTTCTTTCAGGGTACAGACCCCCATTCCATGGTATTTGGTCTGTATTTTTGGAACGTGGCAGTAAATTTTTCTGAATAAAACCGGCAGCATATGTGCTGAAAATATCAGTATTGTCTTTATCACAGAGGATCTTAGATTTCCCTACAGAACTTTTCATGCCTCGAATATTTGGAGTGAGTGCTGTAGGTTTGAGCTACTAACAAGTATCATATGGGTGGCTTGTTCCCTTTTACACCATCCGTATACTTGCCTGAAGCTGCATGTCCGTACTTTGGAATTAAGAGTTGATCATCTGTGAGGTACACTTGTCGATTAATTTGTAAAGTTGTAGTGTGTTACAGCAGAGTATTTACAGAGCCTCACCAAATCCTCTTCCAAATGTAGCCAGTGTAAAAACTAGTATATCTTTTTCACTGAGAGTTTGTGGTGTGTAGAGGAAGAGGAACCTCATAACCAAAATTTACGCAGTAAAACACAGTTCTTCGTTTGGGAGGAAATGTTCCTGTCTTTCTTCTAGATAAAATAAGTGTTAAGGTTTATATGTGGTTCAGGAAAGCATCTCTGTCCATGGCGACAGCTCTGTGAGTATTAAACTTCAAATACAGAGTACTTAACATGCCATCCTGATCTGGAGAACGTTAATACTGAAGATACACAGGTGAAGGCACTGTGAACCGGTGTAAGGACAGATTGTGTCTGCGTTTTTTGAAACTGAGTTTTGTCACTCCCCTCTTGCATCAGCTCGTCATTAAGAAGATGTACTGCAGGTCAATATATGTTCTGGACTGGAATTTCTGCTGCGTGGAATCTTCTAAGTGTATGTGTGTTTCTTAGGAATTGAACTGCTCCTACAGTGAAATGTCAGCCCACGACCCTGAGAAAGTTCTTCGAGCCATTCTGTCGTCCCGCCAGGCAGACAGAGGCAGGAAGGCTCAGGCGTTCATCAGCACGCAGGGTCTCCAGCCTGAAACCGTGGCAGAGCTGGTGGCTGAAGAAATCATGCAGGAGTTACTGGCATCGTTGGAAGGGAAAGGTAGTAAAGAGGCTTGGTCTTGTATTTTCGCATTTTTAGTTTGTAAATGTGATATTTGTGGAACTGAAAAACAGTTCCCGCTCCTGAGATAGTTGAGTGCTAATTATAGTCAGTAAAGTTTGGGCAGCTCTTGTGTAAGGTTTGTAAACCTTCTACACCTTGTGTAAGTTTTTATACAAATGTTTATTTTTAGCTATTTTTGTGTCCAGTGTGGTGTTGCAGTATTTAAGGTTTTGGGTTTTATGGATGTAAATGTAATAGTTTTAAAAAAGGGATTGTTTAGTTTTTTTGAGCATGGTCTTTGCAGCCCCGCATCACCTGACTTGGAAAGATTCATTTCTTTGTGGCTGAAAGATTTTCCCCGGTTTTTGACGTTGTGAAATGAGGGATGTTCCTCAAAACAGCAGGAGTTTATCTGGGGGACTTTTCTATTTGAGTAACTTCTACTTTGCCACAACATTAACAACAAAGTCCATGAGAAACGAGCCATCAGATGGAGATTCACGAGTGCAGATGTCCTCTCCTCTGCTCCTGCTGTCCTCCACTCTGCTGCCCCTCACTCTTGCTGCTCCCCTCGTGCTGGTTCACTTGGCGAGCTCAGATGATTTTGTCCACCTCCTTCAGAAGAGTCAACTTACTAACCCAGCAGGAAACAAATCCAGAAGAGTTTTCTGTTGAGTTCATGAGTTGGACTGGTTCATGGAAGAGTATGAATCAGAGCGGCTGCAAGGGCTGGGTTAGAATTGTCTTGCGTCAGGAAGAGGAGCAGCAGCAGCCTCCTGGGTTTGTGCAATTATAGGTGTAACTACAGTAGGAATACAGTTGTTTGGTAGGATTTCATTGGACTGAACCAGCAAAGAAGTGGTATCTGATTCTTAAATTTAAGCAGGAAGATCAGAAGTGTCTTTAGAATTGTAGTTCCAAGTCCTAGGTCAGTCTGTGTGAAGTTACAGTGGTTGATTTGGGTTTTTTCCTGTTAACGTAGCTAATGTCTCGTGAACAATTAGCACGTGGCACTTGTGACGTAACTCTCTCTCTCTGTGGACACAGGGCAGAAACACGTTTTCAACCCTGCAGCTGAGAGCCAGGCATTCCTACAGCTTGCTAAGCTGTGCCAGGATCGTACGTTGGTTGGCATGAAGTTACTGGATAAAGTTTCCTCCGTGCCACGTGGGGAACTGGCGTGCAGTAAGTAAATGGCAAATAATACCTGATGGAAATAGTGTGTTACTAAACACAGCATTACTTGGTTTAAAATCACATTGCAAGAAAAGCAGTGCTGATGGAAGCATCTATTACTGATGTCAAATTTGATATTCAGTTAATAGATGTGAGTATATGCACAGGAAATAAGCGTGTTGCTCAAGTGTTGCTGCAGTTTAGTGTCCAGACAAAATACAGACATTTTTGTGCCACCAGCTGGGAAATGCAGTCAGTGAGTTACCTGAACTTCTGTAGTTACGTGTTATAGGAAGAGGGTATTGTGACTTTCTTTGTGTTAATCACGACTAGAAATTGCTTTCTTTATCCATTTGTCACACTAACTTTCTAGATCTGTGGTTATTAAAGTCTATTTTACACTTTGCAGCTTTATATACCACAGAGATGTTGTCACTGAGTTTATAAAACATAGCCAAGGTACTGTGGTACCGCTTCGCCACTGCTAACCAGCATATGCTAAGATGTGCTGGAGTAACACACGTACGCAGCGTATGGAATTTACTGAACGAGTCTCCAAACGCAGATGCAACACCTGTGGCCTTCCTCTTTGAAGCGCGGCGCTGACTGGTAGCAGTGGGGTGCTGCTGCACTATTACACGTTTGTCAGTCAGCTTTTGGTGGAGGAGGTTGGAAGTTTTGTGTGTGCAATAAAATAACGTTTCAGAAAAGGATCCAAAAAACCCAGATTTGCCCACAGATTGAGAAGCCAGACTGAATGCGTACTGTTATAGAAACTGTTACTGCATAAAATTGCAGAGGACAGCACCGTCATAGCTCAGCTTTCTAACCCAGTTCTGCTGCGTGCAGCTGGAGAGGCTGTGTGTCCTCTGCAGAGAGGGTGTCCCTTCTGCAGAGCGATGTAATAATTAACTTCCACAGCTTATCAACCTGAGTCATTCTGTTCTTCAGTTACAGAATTGCTGATTTTGGCTCACAGTTGCTTTAGTTTGACTTGCCACATGGAAGGGATCACCAGAGTCCTCCAAGCAGCACGGCTGCTCACAGATGAACATCTGGCACCCAGTGAGGAGTACGGCCTCGTGGTATGCCTCGTTGGTGCCGTGGGTGTTTCTGCAGGTGCTGCGTGGAGGTTCCTGCGTACACCTTAGCAAACAGCTCTGCTCGGGAGCGGGGGGGGTGGAGTGGGTCCTGTCCTGCTGCGGGCGTTTGGCCTGGTGTGCGCAGGTGATGATTTTTATGTCCCAGAAGCTCTTAGAAGAGTTCTCTGGAAAAATACGGGTGGAGATGGCGGCGTGGTGAGGTGGCAGCAGCGTGGTAAAGCAGAATGGGAACGTCAGAGTCATCCAGGCACGGGCGATGCGTGGTGACGTGTATTACCGGGCTGTCGTGTGTCTTGAAAGGACTCCTGGAGTCGGAGACCTGCCCGGTTTAGCGGTGTCATCGCTGAAAGGTTCACTGTTATTTGGTAAAATCGTGTCCTTTCACCTCAAACGGTGCAGTAGGTTGGGTGAGAAACAGAACCTCCGTGGCTCCAAGGGAGCGTCTGCCTGCCCGGTGCGGCTCCGTGCCGCGTAGCACAGCGCTCTGGCCCCACGCAGCCGCCTCCCCGCCGGGGCACGGGCGGCCCACAGAGGGGGAGTTGCTGCTCTGCTTTGGGCTTCACGCTTACACTGTTGCTCCCACAGGTCCGTCTGCTCACGGGAATCGGCAGATACAACGAGATGACCTACATATTTGAGCTGCTGCATGAGAAACACTACTTTGAAGTGCTCATGAGAAAGAAGTTAGACCCAGTAGGTGGAGGGGGTAAAGGGGAGAAAACTTTCAGGGAACTGTGTGGCTACGCCAGAAACTGATATTCACACAACAAGGTGGAATTATCTGGGGATTTTACTTACTGGAGTGTTATTCAAGTGTCATAGTAACAAATTAATTCTGGGTTTTATTGTTTTTACTTTAACAAGTTTGTTCTAATTAGTTCAGTGCTGCAGCAAGAGCAGCACTGAAACTTCAGGCTTGGGAATATCACTTGGAGTTTTCATGTCCTGCTTTGGTTTCACTTCCAGTTAACATTTCATGGGTTTTTAAAAATCATAAATATTTACAGCTTTCATGTAACATAAATAAAGTCATAAAAAGTGTCAGTTTTGACATTGGTATGTAAATAAATAAATCCATAGGTGCTGGATTTTCTTACCTGACGTAGTGTAGTTCAGCCCAAGTATAACATTGCCATTAGGTTTTAAAATAGTGTGGAGAAACCTCAAAGAGCATAATGGTCACTTCTGGGAAAACTGTACCAGAACAGGTTAGCTTATGGGTACCAAGATGTGAATGAAAAAAAAAAGCTTTTCATATCTTGATCTGATTTCCCTCCATCTGACCAGAGCGGGACGCTGAAGACAGCTCTGCTGGATTACATCAAGCGCTGTCGCCCAGGGGACAGTGAAAAGCACAACATGATAGCCCTCTGCTTCAGTATGTGCCGAGAAATCGGGGAGAATCACGAGGCTGCTGCCTGCATACAGCTTAAACTGATTGAATCTCAGCCTTGGGGTGAGTGGAGACGGCAAAACCAGGAGATATAAGCAAGTTTGTTTAAGAAGGAAGCCGTGGTGGGTAGATGGAGTTTTGATCCCCTGTGTTGTCCTGGTACCATCCGTGAAACTTCCGCTGTCTGGAAGGGGGGTCCCATGTGCCATTCTTGTGCTGAACAGCTTATCTGGCTGCTCTGGTATTTTTCAAAGCGTTGGGACTTTTGGCTCTTGCCGTAGTGCCACGTTCCTGTGGTGCCATGCACGGGAGGAGGTAACCTGGGGAGGAATAACCTCATGCACCAGTACAGGCTTGGGGTAGACCTGCTGGAGAGCAGCTCTGCGGAGAGGGATCTGGGCGTCCTGGTGGACGACAGGGTGACCATGAGCCAGCAGTGTGCCCTGGCTGCCAAGAAAGCCAATGGGATCCTGGGGTGCATCAAGAAGAGTGTGGCCAGCAGGACGAGGGAGGTTCTCCT